TTTGCCTTGTCTTGGTATTCCTTCGGTTGATTCCTTTAAAATCATCTAAACTGATACCTCCGACATTGGGTACGATGGTATCCTACTTCAAAAACTTACTCCAGATTCTCCAAAATAAATTGTTCGTTTCCATTCTGTTATCTGGAATAAGGCACAAGTAAATTATAGTACCATTAAAAAAGAAATCTTAACTATTGTCCTGTGTATCTCTAAATTCCAGGATGATATACTAAATCAGAAATTCTTAATAAGAATAGACTGCAAATCAGCAAAGTATGTTCTAGAAAAAGATGTACAAAACATTGCTAGTAAACAGATATTTACCAGATGACAATCTATTTTAAGTATTTTTAATTTTGATATCGAATACATTAAGGGCAGTAATAACTGCATCCCTGATTTTCTAACCCGTGAATTTCTGCAGGAACCTCATGGCCGACAGGAAAGCTAATAGTCCTGGATCTTCTTCTCAAGCCGGGAGGGATACATGAAAGAAAAAACTTAGTCAGATCTTTGCCCAAGAAAAGACAAATTTGGATAAACAGTTAGCCTTGCCAAGCCCATTAGTCTTGCCAAGCCCAAAACTTTTATCCTTTGTTATCCAGATTGCCAATAAGTTTCAACCTCTTGGTAATCTTAACCCAAGGCCATTAGCCAAATCCACTATAGTACTCCCTAGCACTTTCCTCCAAATGGCCCAGCAGGCCCCTAGACCTGTTGTATCAACCCAACCTAGCACCTCTAGCCAAATATTAGATCCATATTCTCACCATAAAACCCAGTTTGTCCCCAAAGGCCCAAACTTCGACTACATCAAGGCTTATACCCAAAATGTATTTGCCATTGAACCAGTTCATGGTCACCTAAGCAATCCAATGGACTTAGTCATTGCCTATCTTGAGCTAGGATGGACATTCATCCCAACTGATCCTGAAAAGACCTTCCAGTTCTATCAGGATATATTATTCTACACTCAATCCATATTTGTCAAACTCATATTTGATAAAAAAAATTGAAGTAAAATTATTTACCATTCCTTACATATTTTAAAAATTATTTTTCTCAAAGACTGGGGGATCTCATCCTTCTTCACTCCGAGATTTACCATACTATAAAAGAAAGTTTAATTACTATGATTATAAAGAATCATGGTTTAAACTTATACTCTACCAGAATGATTCATTTGATCATTCATGGTTCCTACAATTTCACAAAGATTTCAAAAGCCAGATTTCATCCTGGTTTACACAGTGGTGGTTTATTCATGGCCCCATTCATGAAATCTTTTTAGTTGATCTTCAAGATCAGATTATAGCATTCTCCTCTGTTTATAAACCTAGTAAATATGAGAGTCAGTTTCCTATTTTACTAACATTTATTTGCAGATACAAAGTCTCATGGATATGCAAATGAAAGTGGGAAATTATTGGGTATAATGTAGCCAGACAGTTTTATGTCAAATGGTGGCCCAGGTTCCAGCAAGAATCAATAATTGACAGTATCAAACAGGAGTTTTCAATCAGAGTCCCAACCCCAGAAGTGGTTCAGGCAATCCCCTTAACTCCAGTTAGACAAGTCATGCCTCCTCTTAGGATTTCTACTCCAAAAGAAAAATCCATTGAGAAACCAAAACGGAAGAAGTCCTCTTCTAAGGACTCCAGCAAATAGTCCAAGAAGCAGTCTGCAGATCTAATCAAGCTTGCATAACAACTTCTTGAAAAAGCAGCTAGTGAAGACAGCTCATCGGCATCCTCACAGGCATCAGTCAGTCCAGCATTAGATCCCTTCCAAGAAAGTCAGGATCCTTATGCAGGTTATGATGATTTGGTAGATATTTCTACCCCATAATGATACTTGTCCATATATGTGATAGCTTCACTCACTACTCTCTCCAATAAGAGAAAGAAAAGCTGTATGTTGCATATATTGATAAAAAATCATTTCGGATCAACAGCCCTTTCATTAAAAGTAGCCGTCAGTCACTTTCAATATCTGTTTTCCACCGAAAGTAAATTCCCCAGACAGTATCAGGACCCATCTGCCACATAAGTCAGCAGTCCTGCCACTAAAGTCTACATTCACCAGGGTAAAAGCAATTCACTTTCACTTTCCCACCGAAAGTCTAAAGTGAAAAACTTTACCTAAAGATAAAGCATGAAAAGAAGATAACGGAGCAATCATTTCAAAGATTCCTCCAGAGCTCCTTACCCTTATATAAGGACTTCAATCTTCTCATTTAAGGGCAAGAGGTTTTTCCCATAAGAAAAACCTTCGTCATAGAGTTGTAACCCGAAAACTCCCATAAGCCTTCCTTATACACAACTCACTATCCCATACTCTGTAAGAATTCTTCAAAATAATGCAAATGAAGAATTTCTCTCTTATCCCCTTTCATTACTAGCCCATTTAGTGCTAGTATTGTAAGTATTTTATTTATGTAATTTGTATTTATATCTTGTTCATTTAAACAAGAAATTNTATTACTAGCCCATTTAGTGCTAGTATTGTAAGTATTTTATTTATGTAATTTGTATTTATATCTTGTTCATTTAAATAAGAAATTTTTACAATTAAAAAATCCAATTGTCATCCTTATTTACATCTTGTGAAATCTCCTTAAACTCACATGAATTCCGTACTTTATTGTATTTTGGTATATATATATATATATATATATATATATATATATATATATATATATATATATATATATATATATATATATATGTTGTTGTTGGGTTGCAAAATGGGGATTGATATTTCTAGGTGGCGTCGGTTATTGCAGATTTGAAATGGTAAGAAAATTAAAGGTAGTGAAAAACCACTCACGAAATCGTGAGAAGAATAAGAGGGAGAGCTTTAAGGTGTGGGCTTGTGGGCGTGTATGTGCGCCTGTGTGCCTGTTTGTTAATGTTGGTGTGTGTTGGTGTTGGGTTGCTATTTGGTGGTGGTGGGTTGCATTGTTGCAAAGGAGGTGGTGTGGTTTTTTGATATTTAGATTAGAGGGAGAAGTTTTTGTTTATAGTAATTTTAGGACATCAAATATATATTTTTTTTTCTATTTGTTTAAAAGCTAGAATGGTTATTTGGAAAAATATGATAAAATAATCATAAGAGATTGATGGTATAATGGTAAGTTCACAATTCCGTTAGTGCTGTCAGTCAATTTGGTCCATCTAAAGCTTGGAGGGGGCAAATTGTTGAAATTGAAACCACAGAGAGTTGATTGCAACAAGGGGTAAAGTTGAAGGGGGCAATATATAATTAACCCAAAAGTGAATGTCCTCAACCAACAACAAAAGCCAAAATCCAACTACTCTGCGTTATTGTTGTCGGGCTCATACGTCACTAGTGGGCTTATGGTGCGTGATCTACCAATGAGCTAAAGTTCATCTTGAAAATGGGCTATTGGATGGGAGTGGTACAAAGGCCTATCAATGAAATAAGTGAGAAATTATTTTCATTCATTCTATTGACTTTTCTCATCCCAAAACATTGTACTCATACAAGCTATTAAACAGATAAAAAGCGAAACAGAAGTATCCTAACAAGGTCGGCCACTACTAGACCTTGTCAGGCCCAACTACTAGACTTTAACTTGAACTTTAGGTCCCACTTAAATGAAAGGTTCCAAACTTTTATGTGTATTAATAATCTATGTCAAAATTTTACATTCTCTATTCAAAATAAAAAAAAAAAAACATTTACATTCATAACATGTTTAAGCTTAGCAAAAAACACCCTATTCTAATATAACCCAATTAAAAAATTTTAAGCCCAATAAATATTAAAAATCTATAAATGACCTAACTGTAATATTTATTGAGAATGATATATGCAAAGAAATTAAAATGATGCAACTTAATTTCTATTTCCTCATCTCGAATCAAAAAATAAAAAATGTATATTTGGAATGAATACAATTTAATATTTATTATTATTATTATTATTATTATTATTATTATATTAAGGAAAACTTTTAGCCACACCCATTTTAATTTATCATATCTTCAAGAACACCCCATTTATTATCAAAAATATCATTGACACTCATTCTTAAACATCACCGATGCCCCTTACTATTAAACCACCATTTATAACAAAAATAAATTATCTTAAATACCAAAATTACCCCTACATAAACCCTAAACAATCTTGAAATATAAAATTCAACAAAAATTTGAGCAAATTAAAATTCATTTTGTTACATATTAAAATTCAAGTTGATTACTTTCTTTTCCACATATTAAAATTCAATTAGAGAAGATTAAACATTTCGAATCGATTAAAATTTATATTTTTTTATTTATTAAAATTCAATTTTAGTTGATTAAAATTTATTTTTTATGTATTAAAATTTGAGTCAATTAAAATTTATATTTTTTATGTATCAAAAATTGGGTCGATTAAAATTTAATGTAAGTTTATTAAAATTGGATTTGATCCTCAAATAGAATTTTAATATGTTCAAATTTTAATAAGTAAAAGAATATAATTTTTAATCGACTAAAATTTTAATACATAAAAAATAAATTTTAATTAGCTCAAATAAAATTTTAATCGGCCTGAATTTTAATACGTAAAATAATTTAGAAAATAGAAGGGGTCTCATTGAAGATATGTCTATTCAGAGGGGGGTGGATGAAATTTTTCCTAAAATATGTCAGGGGTAATTTAGTAAAATTACATTCTAATTAACATTTTTCATCTGATAAATTCTGTCAGTGAAAATTCGAAAAATAGAGAAAATGTCCTTAAAGATATAATTAATTAGAAGGGGTGTGATGAAATTTTCTCTTATATTAAATAATAATATGACCTCATTTATAAATTTTATTTTAGGCCCCAATTTCATTGGGCTGCCCCAGTCTCCTGAATTATTTTGAGGGAAGAATGACGATTCCTCAAAGAGAAAACTTCTGACGAAGGTTTCCGACAACCCAAGTTCCATTTGGTGGAAGTTAAATATAGTTAGAAGAACCCATAATATCATACTTCCAATGGACTCTCATTTCTTCAAAGAAATAGATTAAGAAACCGAACAATAAAACCCAGGTTTTAACATTTCATAAGCATCGTCAAACACTGATTTGATAAACATACATACAGAATTGCATAAATTTTTATCCTCCATTTGCCTCCTCAATCACCCGAATCATCGGTTTAATCAGCTGATACGACGGCATAGGGTGATTCCATCACCAACAGGGAGCTGGCAGATCTCAATCCTGGGGTCAACAGCCAAGGCATTGTTGAGCTCCAACACAAAGTCCCTATAGTATCTCACATATTTCCGGAGTGGCGCATCAGGCGGCGCCACCACTGACCCGTTCCACAGGGTGTTGTCGTAGCCTATAACTCCACCAACCTTCACCAGCTCAATGATTCTCTTGTGGTAGTTAAGGTAGTTGTCTTTGTCCGCGTCCACGAAAATGAAATCAAAACTCCCATGATACTTACCCTGTAACAACAAATTGATACATATTTTTCAACTCTCAGAATAAATAAATAATCAGATTATAGAACTGTCGATGTTTGTATTAGTGGATACTTACGTCCTCGATCATTTGGTCGAGAAAAGGAAGAGCAGGCCCTTCTCTGAAATCAATCTTGTGAGCAACACCGGCCTTTTGGATCACTGGAAGGCCTAGTTCATAGTTTTCACGATTGATGTCCATAGCCAATATCTGTAACCACCAAGAACAATTTCAAAGGACTTAAATACTTCTGATGAGGAAGATTAAAAGCGGTTTTATTATTTCGATAAGCAATGACTACAAATAATTGAACGGAGATCGTTGACCAATCACACAATGAAAGTGAAAGGAATTTTTGGCACCTTTCCATCATGAGGAAGGGCCAGAGCAGTGGCAAGGAGAGAGTAACCAGTGTAAACACCAATCTCCATAGTGTTCTTGGCATTGATGAGTTTGATGAGCAAGTTCAAGAACTGGCCTTCATCAGCAGAGGTGGTCATGATGTTCCTGTTCAGTTCGAGTTACAATTAGAAATCGATTTTAACATATTAGGATCAATCTGCAAATGTTTAGATTGTCCCAATAATTCTATTTTCTTGTGGCCTTATCAAAATAAGTTGTAATATCGGCTTTGTTTTATAATATCTTTAGATAAGATTGTCAATGAGTCGTATCATATTAACTTTCTCATTTTGTCTGTATCGAGTTGACATCCGACTTATTAATAATCATGTCTAGTTAAAACCATGTCGGTTATTTGTCATGTTCAACAATTCATGTTGTCTTGGATGAAATTTGCATCTACTTGGTTATTTAACGGATCTAATTAATAGGTCTTTCTATTTACTATAGCCAAACCTGATAAACTTCTAATTACATATTTGATTTTATATCAGAATATACGGATCGTGTCTATAATTGTCGAGATTAATTTTCAGTACACGGGGCTCACCAAGGGTGTTTTGCAGTCAAGTCACGAAGCTCTTTCAAGCATTCAGGCTCTCCTGGATAAACACTGGTCTCAAGGATATACTGCATGACACACAACATGCAACCGTGAATTTAAATGAGATTCATTTTGATCAGAAAAAAAAAAAAAAAATTAATGGGATTCAAACTAGGAAAAAAAAAAACTTAGGGGTGGGTGCTTGTAATATTTGAGAGAGAATAACCAATATTCATACCTGATAAAGAGCATCACTTTGCAAGAGGGACTTGTGGCCAACCTCCTGGTGCCTCGAAACTTGGTTCTGATTCTCCCCATTAGTCGCCATTTCTGTGTAATCTCAAGCTAGCTACCTTCCTTCCTTCTTTGTGAATTCTTAGGGTAATGGTCGGTTTGGCTGGTGAACCTGAAGAAAGGCTATGGTGGGTGCCTATTTTATACATGGAAGGTGGTGGTGGGTAGGACACAGACTGGTGGGAACTTTCGTTTGTGGACAATGTGTACATAAACTGCATTGGTGTCATACTAAGAAATTATTTTTCAATCTCATATCTCTTATTTTGTTTCAATCAAAATAAAATACGGTAGAATTTTTATATTTTTTATATTATTATTATTTTATTTTATGTTCTTATTCTTATTATAAATAAATTAAAGCAAGATGTATAATTATCAATTTCTTTTAAATTCCTATAGAACTTGGGTACTGTTATTATATTACCAAATAGAAGGCCAGCCAACATTGAGAGGGTTGGTGAGCTCCTCTTTTGTGGCATGGGTGGGCCTTGGGGCCCACTGACCAACTCCTTTCTTGACTTGATGATCAGCTTTGGCTGAATGACCAGCCACCTCCATTGACACACCCACCATTTCCAAAATTTAATGATTGTTGTGTTCCTTTTTTTTTTTTGTGTTAGAAAATCAAAAAGAAACTCTTGATTTCTAACTTTAATGATTCATCTCCAATAATTAGAGTCCCGCATAAAATCAACCTCATGCTTAATAAGTAATAAAACTCACAGGTACAATTTATTTGTGTAGAAAATGTTTGGAATTTGTGTATTTTACACCGTGAAAGGTTTTAAGGTTTTCACAATATTACACTTTTAAATATTAAATTTTTTATATTACACCCTCAATATATCAAAAGAATTGTAATGTGACCCTTCTCTTAACTTTCGTTATTATTTTTGGTCAAAAGTCAATTAGTTGACACTAATAGAAGAATCGCATTGCAATACTTTTGATACATTGATAATAGACTACCAAAAATTTGATCTTTGAGAGTGTAATTGTTGGACCAAAACAGTTTTTTTAAGTGTAAAAATTGAATTTTTAGTCGACTTTGAGATTAAATTAAAGTGGGACTCGTCGTTGTTTCGAATAAACTTTTGTGGGTTCATATTCAACTCCGTAAGGAGAATAATGTAGTATATTTACTTGCTCAAATCGAGTAAAAAATGAATGAGAAAATAGACTCCAAAGTGACCTTCTTAAGATATGGAAATAAAGGTTATGCAATGTGAGATTTGACACCAATCCCACATTGGTTGAGGAAGAAATTCAACATAGGCATATATAGGCTAAATTTGCTCTATGAGATTGGGTCCCAAGGGGTACCACAGTTTTATGAACAGAGCAAGCGCCTATATGCTTTCGGTTCAACCACACACACACGCGCCGCCCACACACGCGCACGCCGCCTGACCGGTTGATGAGGCCAGGCTCGGGTGTGGGTGTGGGTGTGGGTGTGGTTTAAACTACCTGTTAGATCGCACTAGTTCGAATTTATTACTTCCTTCCAGTCTGAAATTGAGTTGTGATTGTTCATAGAGATTCATTCATTCATTATCAATTCATATACAGAGTTAAGTCAGACATTTAGTGCATTGTATTTTTTGGCATTTAAGACAATTTGCATTTGGAGAGTACACAACATAGTTTTGGTTCATTGGACGAGTAGATTGGAGTGTTACTTTGTTCGTGTAAAGATCATTGCATCTTGGAAGGCGACGCTAGATATTTCATAAGCACCGTGTGTGGGGGAGAAATCTGTCTTAAGGACATAGTGTCAAACACTAGCCTTGATCTACATCAACTTCAATAACAGTTCATGTTTTGCAACCAGGTTAGTATTTATATTAGTTTAACAAAAAATTACGTGTAACTCTTTCGTTTTTATGTAACTTTTTATTATTACTGTTTCGTTAGAGTAACTTGTTTCTATGTAACTCTTTATATTGTTCAAATCAGAAATTTTAATAAGTGATTTTACAATATTTAGAATCATACAACCAATAGTAATATGTGAATCGTTAAATTTTTTAAGAGACAAAATACAATTCATCTAAAATCTTTTTGACAACATGTTTTCCATGAATTTCAAGGTGGCGTGAACGTTTTTGTTACATAACAAAAAAGAAAAATTAAATATTTTTTTTTGTTGATACCGACTCTGTTTAAATTGTTGAGAGTGTTTAATTAAAATATATAAGATTTAGGAATCTTTATTTTTTTTTTTCAAAATATAGGGGGATATTTCATGTAATTAGCATATAAACTTAGAAATCAAGACAACTCTCTCGCATAATATATACCAAAAACAACCTATTTTTGATCTTTTTTCTATTTGCTTGAAAGTTGGAATTATCTATCAAAATATGGCCATAAGGAGATAGGTAGTTTTTTATTTTTGGCATCAAATCCTAGTACTTAACCCTAAAAAGATGTAAATTATCAAGCTATGGTAAGAGTAAAAATAATTTTTTATTTAAAACAAAAGACTTTTTTTTTTTTTTTTTGGTTTTTTTATTTGGTCTCACTTTGTTGGTTATTTTTCCTAAAAGGACATTGCCACTTCAATTCCGGCACCGACTGATTCGATTTCAAGTAGAAAGGCCATCAAGCCTTCCTCTAATGTGGGTCCGACGTGTTTCAGAATCTTACACGTGGCAAAAAGGAGTCTGTGAAAGTTGGTGAGAGAGGACCTCACCAATCGAACTGACCGACTCCCTCAAGGGGTTGGTGGCCAATTCAGCTAATTTGGTCACTTATTGGAGAAACCTTTTTTTTATTTTTTATTTTTTCTATTTTTTGTTTTCTGGCTATCATAGAAATAAAATAAAAAAAAGTAAAGATTATGATTCATTGCCTACACCAATTGGAGCCTACTTAGCCTGTGGCGAGTCAGGGGCAAAATTGACAAACTGTTAATTAATCTTTAGATTTGGTTGGATTAGTCTCTCTTGTTAAAAAAGAGAGTTTAAATTAATCGAGAGAAAAATTCTATTGAGAAATAGGGTAAATCTTATTTTGCTACTTGAAAAATATAAAAATTTTCAATTTATCCCTCAAAAAAAAAAATATAATGTAATTTTCTATCTTATTTTGGTTTGATTGTCCGTCAATTTGTGATTCCTGATAAGATATAGATAATCAGATAAAAATAAGATGATAGACTCTATTGTAACGTTTCTATTTCTTTTGAAGGGTAACGTAGAAAAATCAATCATTCCGGGAACAAACTAAATTTTTTTATATCTTTGAGGGGCAAAATAAATTTTTTCCTAAGAAATGAGGATTTGAGCGAGTTTTTGAGAATTCTAAATTCTTGTGGAAAGAATGACAAATAGGGTTCTATTCATAAAGATTTCTTAAAGCGTATTTCTATAAATAAGTTAAAAAATTAAAAAATTAAAATTAAAATTATTTTTTGGATCTAACGGTTATATTTCACCTTTTAGCAAAAATTGGGAGGGTTGGCGGACCGTTGGACTTCAAGAGGGTGATACTATTCTCATCCCATAAATATTCATTCTCACTCATTTAATACCTTATTTTAAACTACTAAATTTATTTCATCTATATACACCTTATTAATGACTAAATTTATTCCATTTATGCCTATCCAATTAAACTATTATATATATTTTTCAAGGAAGTCTAAATGAAACATTAATTGAAATAAAATTTCAATGATCAGAGGTGATTTAAAATTTTTTGATATATTTTTATCAATATTTTGAATTGTCTTAACATATTTCAACTAATATTTTATATGAAAAGTTTCGGTATCAAAATAATGCATCGAAATAAAATTTTGATAATTGTCTATATAGCAGATTGAAGTAAAATGGGATGAGTTTAGTTTTTAATTGGAGATTGAAGTAAAATGGGATGAGTTTAGTTTTTAATTGGTGATTATAGATGAAGTTAGTTTAGTAATTAATGGATGGATATAGATAAGATGAATTTAATAGTTTAAAATAAAGAGTTAAATATTAGAAAATAAAGATTTAAAGGGTGGAAATAACCACACCCAAAGCATAATCTAATCTAACATTTGGTGATGTTTTTTTTTATGAGAAATGTCACATAGACTTAAAAAGTAGATTTAAAAATGAGTAATATTACTTGAACCTAAAATTTAGACTTGATAATCACAACCATTAAATATGTAGTAAGTTTCAATAAATATTGGGACCAACAGTTAAATCAATGGTTGTAATTATTAAGTCTCCCTTTTAATTCCACTTTTTTTTTTCGCTTTTTTGGTGCATAAACTTTAAGAGAAACCAATGTTGGCCTTAGAAATCAGGCAACATGTGAAATTACTATTTCACATGCCTCGATCTAATAGTTGGATTCAAAACAATTATATTTTCTTTAAATTTAACAATGTAGGAAAATTATGTTAAAGAATCAAGAAGCATATAAGAAAACAAGATGTAATTGAGGAATGGTTGGCTAACAACGTTCATATTTCGTCGCCTACCTCTTTGCACAATCAAAAAATGATATTAAAAAATATAAACTAGGCCTTGGGGGAAGTATTGTTGGTGAATCAATTGAAGAACATATGCTAAGATTCTTATCTACCAAACAATTTCTTTTTAAATGGCTATCCATTATTTTCGAGTGGAATTATGAAGTATGCACGCATGCACACATAGATGATTTCAAAAACCCTTTATCAATACTCTTGGGCCTGTTTGGTAAATTGGTATAGGGGTTTGGTAAGATGGACTTAAAAAAAATAGTCTAATAGACCCCAAAATCCTTGTGCGTATTGCTTTTTCAAGATATGGACAGCAATCCCAACCCGTAGCTGGCCCGACACTTTAAACCCTTGAATATGGATTTCATCAAACTCATGGGGGGTGAGTTTCAGTCAAGTCATACTTGGATTAGTGAGACAAATGTTATTTATACTCCTGAATTAAACAAATGTGAGTATGCATTGGATTAACCAATGAGCAATACAATCATTTATAGAATAAATATATTACAATAATAGGGATATATTCATTGGTCCTATATGTATATATGATGCATATCAAACATGGATATGTACTGAATTTAACATTGAATTTCATCTTCAACATTTGTCTTCTTGAATA